ATGGTTAAAAAAAGTATAAATTACTGCCCCCCCGTCCCCCCCTTAAATCACTCCCAGATGGGCAGTATGTAAGAGGCTGCTGGGGGTGTACGGGTTAATGTCAGCCATCGGTTCCACCATGTTGCACACACACCAGTCACCTGTGTGCGTGTGTGAGTGTATGTGTGTGTACCTGAGCGTCAGGCAGGGCCACGTCCACAATGACCGGCTGACCGTGGGCATCTCCGTTCTCCAGTCTGGAGTAGACCACCTGGTAGCCTCTGATCTGCCCGTGCTGCTTCACAGTCAGGGGGGGCTTCCAGGTCACTCTGATGGTGGTGGAGTTGACAGGGTCGGCCTCCACCTTCCTGGGAGGAGCTCCGGGCACTGGAGCAAAACAGATGGATGAAGAGGGTTAGGTACTGGTACTGTAGTACTAGCCTAGGATTGGATGAAACACAGAACTCAGGTGAAGACCCTGAACTGGAGAAGATCCAAATGTTGGTATGCTGAGACTCAACTCAGACGAGGACTGGATTCTGCTCTGGTAACGTGGACTCTTTTTTCCTGTTCTGGACCTGAAGGGTACTACACAGCGCTCCAAAAACCATATCCATTGTCTGCTTGTGTTGCTGGCACCAGCATTCTGCATACAATCCCACTGGTGTTAGCCTCTGACACACAGTCGTCACATTCACACTACTAAAGAACTCACTTTAGAATATTGCTAATTTAAATTTACCAAAAACAAACGGTACACGAAGACCTTACAAATCTGTCTCACCACACTAAATAACTGAAATGAAAAGTCAGTACAAAATGACACCTACAGTAATCACATGTGTTTTGATCAGGAAGTGACCAGGACTCTGGTCATCTCCTGCTGCTGCCTCCTCCAATCAGATCCCTGCTCCATCATCTTAACACAGTCGTCCTTCCACTCAGATAAAAACACATTAAAACTGAAGCCGACTGGCTGTGGGTGGTTTTGGAAATTGACTTGATCACAGTTCCTCTCTCCTTCCTGCCGCTGACTCCACTCTCTGCGCAGCTTTCATTTCCTGTGCAGCTCCCACTGATTCTTCAGCTCTGATAACTGATTCTCTGACCAAACAATTTCCTTATTGATAAATGATTTGCAACCACCCTCCTGCAGGGGGCTCCTGCCGTTCCGTATTTTCTTACATCATATTTTGTCCAGTTTTAGTGGCTGGTGGTCCTGGACTTGACCCTGAGAGGAAAATGGATCTCCACCTTTAACATCAACAAAGTTTGGCTTTAAAATGTCACAGTGAATCCGTCTGCAGCTCTTTGTCGTTCTGTTATTGGTTTCTGTCCTGGAACAGCTTTGTAGTGCACTAATGAAAATGGGTTTGAGGACGAACGAAGATCAGAGAAGGTTCTGGGCTTTCTCAGGACAGTCTGATGCTAACGTTGTCACGGTGGGATGAAAGAATGAGAGAAAAAAAACAACAAAAGTTTTTTGTTTTTTTTCAGCTCCTCTCAGCAGTGATGGATGTCAGCTCTTTGTGATCACATTATTATTGGTCAGGTTATTTACTAACATTTGCAGCTGCTTATGTTTTCATCAGTTTTCCACAAAAATAGATTTAAATTCTGAGTTTGATTTACCTGGATTTAACGAACAGGTTTTATCAAATAAATCCAATAGTAAGAAAATATCAATACACTGTAAAATCGCGATACTTAATTTCACGGTACCGTATCAATCATTCTACAGCACTGCATTGATTCTTTATCATAACAATAATAATTAAAAAAATAATGGAACAGCTTTGTGTGTTTACTATGATGACACTTTGACTACAGTTACATTTAAAAAAAAGAAAATTCAATATATCATCTTACCTAAAGTATCGCAATATATTGCAATATATCGTATTGTGATACATATCGTGAGGTTCTTGCCAGTGCACAACTCTAGAATCCACCGAAGAATTCATTTTGGTACTGTAGTACAACGACATGGTGGGGCAGTAACTGTTCAGTCCTTGTATTTTTCCACTCTCCTGTTCCGTCCACTGACTCACTCTGATGCTGCCAACACATCCAGCAGGGAACGTGAAGGTGCTGCCCTGTGTGACGGTACCGATGGCTCTCTGAGGAACTCACTGAAGTCACTGAAGGAGTCTGCTCCTCAGATTAGCACCGGTGTCAGGGACCGGTTCCAAGGTAAAGTGAAGGTTGTGAAGCATCTACTGTATAACAGAATACACACATCAAAGTGTGTCACACGCAGCCCCAGGAGGATGCTGGGAGCAGGCTGAGGAGAACCCTCATGTCCTACTGTATCAGGATCGGCTCGTGTATATTCCTGCAGAGCGTCGGACAGCCAAAGAGGGGAGGGGGAGGTGGGGGGAGATGTTAGAGGGACTACAAATTAAACTTAAAAAAGAGAGGTTGAAGCGGTGCAGTGGTATAAAAGGACAATTAGGAGAGGGGGAGGGGAGGGGAGGGGAGGAGGGTGGACGGATGCAGGTAAGAGCGTCACCCAGCACAGCAGGCTTTTTTAACTAATGTCAGCTCTGTGTACTTTGGACTAATTAGAATCGTTTAACCTCACACACACGGAGCAGGGTTCAAGCCTCAGAGTAAGAAAAAAAAAAGCAAAACAAATTCAGCAATTCCAACTGTGAACATTGACACGATGTGATTCAAATACATGAAGAGATGAAAGCTGCGCCAAAGGCTGCTGGTTCCAGAGGTTAACCTCTGGGGTGAGTTCATTTTAGGGACCGTGGCTGTAAAGATCTGGTCCTCTCTGACTGTGAACTTCCTGTTTGCTTTTGCTGGTTCACTTTAGGATTCTTATAAGAACAATGTTGTCTCTTCAAATCCATTATTCCTTATAATTTTTGGAATATTATCAAAATATGGGCCATGGCCCACAATTGGTACACAAGTGACTTTTTTTGTAGCCTGTGATGTCATCATAAATGGCCAGTCGTTAGTTTGCCTCTCAAAGCTGACCCTGCGACTTTCTGACCCAGATTCCTCCTGTGTCTCTCTGTCTGTCTACACCTCTGTCCCTCGGCCGGTCCAGTGTCTTTGTCTCTCTGACAGTCAAAGGCTCAGTCCAGTTATTCAGGCGTCAGTTCTAGAACAGTTGGACGTTTCCATACGTGGAGTGGATCCATTACCAACACAGATGTGACTGATGTTTGCTGAGCAACATTCAGACACTTCCTGCTGCTTCTACTGAATGTTCAGGTCAGACCTGTGTGTGTGTGTGTGTGTGTGTGTGTGTGTGCAGCTGCTGTCACAGTCAGCAGCGGTTACTAATTGTCTCATTTCTCTCTTCCTCACTCTCTGACTGGGGCTGCTGTTACTGCTGTTACTGCTGTTACTGCTCCTGCTGTTACTGCTGTTACTGCTGCTGCTGTTACTGCTACTGCTGTTACTGCTGCTGCTGTTACTGATGCTGCTGTTACTGCTACTGCTGTTACTGCTGCTGCTGTTACTGATGCTGCTGTTACTGCTACTGCTGTTACTGCTGCTGCTGTTACTGATGCTGCTGTTACTGCTGCTGCTGTTACTGATGCTGCTGTTACTGCTGCTGCTGTGACTTAGATTTCCATCATCTTATCTTTGAACATCAACCACTGTACAGGCCTGAAGGAACATTGGTCTAAAAACAGCGCCTTTCAAAGGAAAAGTCAAAGACTTTGTTGATGAATGTTAAAAAGACAAACCCTGTTTTCGTGGTGAAAAAAAACTTAATGGGCATTAGAAAGTAAAAAACAAAACTAAATCATTCTGGAGAATCAGTGTTGAATCAACACTGATGTTCAAACATGTTTTAGAAAAACTGCAGCAAAGACTGAATTCTCCATCTGTCAATTAGAAGACGTTCATCTTCTTCACTGCAGTCATAATTCCACTGTTTGTTCCAGACGTTTCTGTTCAGCTTTGATGACGACTGAAGCATTTTTTAAATTTCTGGGTCACAATCTTCAATGCATTTGTCCTTCTATCATTTGTCACCCAGAAGGTATCAGGTTCAAATCCCACAAATTCCCTGATCCCCACTTTCATCCACATCGCATACAACCGACCTGCCACACAGGGTTAAATACAAGCGGCAAAAGCGAAAAGTCAGCAGCCAGACTGTGAGGAGCGTCAGCGTTTCTGAGTCAAGTCTTCGCTGTACAAAAACACTGCTAGTGCGGTGTACAAAAAATAAATAGACGGTCAATATATACAGCTGATGGAATCATCCTCAGTGTTTGTTATATATTCTTACATGATAATGCTGACAACAGGTAAACACTGGAGCATTAACACTGACAGATCACTGAGTAAATGTTCCTCAGTTTGACTCTCCAGCCAGAAAACAGAAGACTTTTAGGCTTAATAATATAAGCCTATTATTATTATTATTATTATTATTATTATTATTATTAATAATAATAATAATAATAATAATAATAATAATAATAATAATAATAAAGTAGAAGTTGAATGTTTTCTGGAGACAGAGACTAATGTAAAGCCTTTCACCACTCTCCATTTCAGGACCATGGACAGAGCCTACAGCCGGCTGATAAGCGCCTGGTTGTAAAGCCAGGCTTTATTAAATCTTTTTCTTCGTCTTGTATGTAAACCTGGCTGTGTGTGGTGGCGGCAGATGGATTTACAGTGGGTGGAGCAGAAGAGGAAAGGCTCTAGAGAAACACTGGAGAGAAATCTGAGCAGATTTCTCTCCAGAGTCAGGGAGGACACAGAGGCAAAGGTGAAAATTCAAATTCAACG